CTGCAACGTGCAGCAGTAGCAATCGGTGAGCTTTTTCTCAAGAACAGGAAAATAGTTAGTGAAAATTGTTCCCTATATCATTAGTTTTGAAAAGTTCAGGAAAAACACCAATCATCACGTGTAAATAATTGCATTGATAATTTGTAATTATCCGGTTACGACGGATGTAGGCTTAGAATTTGTTTTTTGACACCAATCAAGTTTATGACATCTTGCAAGAGCCACTGAATGGTGACACTACACTTGTGAATGTCTCAGTGGAGATAAACATATGCATTATACTAGCTATGTCTATGATAATAATAAGAAAAAGCGCTCTCTAATCTGCACTGCCTAGAGCTATGTAACCTCTACTGCTGAATATCCTGCAATTCTGCAAAACTTCAAATTTATAAGACACCCTCTTGATAAATATTTAGTATTTTGGATAGGATTAAGTAAATTTCCCTCAAACTGCAAGTCACTTGCTGGGATTTACGAAACCTGTCAACAATCAATATATCGATTCAGATTGTTCAAGTACAAGCAAACAACAAGCAATGTAACACCTCTCGCTACAAGAAAAATCGATATATCGACTAACTCACGTATTTGTCAGTATGGCTTTAGCCTGCTATATGGCGCATGTTCGTACAATTTTTTGCGGAGGCTATTACGAAACTTGTAGACTTACATCTTGCACAGAAAATCTGACAATCGGACTGCGTTTGGAAATTATTGAAATTGCCAAGGAAGCCATTGTAGGTGAATGGATGACATTGTCCATCGATTGGGTTGTAGTAATACCTTAATCATACAGTTGTAGTAATACCTTAATCATACAGCATGGTATACGCATTAGAGCATTACGTATTTACCTAGTACTGATCCCAACGGCATAATTGGCTTGTTCACCAGTAAGTTGATCAAAGCGCATTCCTGGATCGTAAGGAGTACTGCGAAGAGGATTTTTTGCACGACCACCGGACTCGCTGCATATGTTTTCTGCAAAACTTAGCTGAACATCAATCTCACAAACGGTCTGGAGACCAAATATAATCATTAAAGGTCCTGTTGTGTTAACACTCACTTCTGCTTGGGCAGCAAAGACTTTGACTGGCCACCTCAGTACATTGGAAAGGTTCGGGACAAGGTTGACTAATAGTACAACCTCCATGTGGACTCTGATTTATCTCGGTTTTTGAGTTGAAGTAGGCGGGGTTACCTCTTGGACAAGCTAAATTAATGTTATTCCCTTTCATAAAGAACCTGCCAAATGTGAATTACCGTGAAATAAGACTTACTGTCCTTGCAGAAGCTCTCACAATGACTGAGTGTTTCAAAATTGTTAGGGCTAACTTCCGAAGCAGTTGGATCGAAAAGGAACTGTTGGCAAGAGCCAATAACACCGTTGAACCACCATCTTGGCACAGCGCCAAGCTCATCAGATTCACCTTTCTTTGGCTGTTGGCAGGTGAATGCTGAAAGGAGCACTCGGACATCAAGGAAATGCTAGCTCAAGAGAGAGAAAACCAATCTTTCTTAAAGGAGAATGACACAAAAAT